TTAACTGTTTGACATGGATCCCCACTCAAATACATTTATCTGTTTGACATGGATCCCCACTCAGATACATTTAACTGTTTGACATGGATCCCCATTCAAATATATTTAACTGCTTGACATGGATCCCCACTCAGATACATTTAAGTTTTTGACATGGATCCCACCCAAATACATTTAACTGTTTCACATGGATCCCCACTCAGATACATATAACTGTTTGACATGGATCCCCACTCAAATATATTTAACTGCTTGACATGGATCCCCACATGGATCCCCACTCAAATACATTTATCTGTTTGACATGGATCCCCACTCAAATATACATGCTTGACATGGATCCCCAACTGTTTGACATGGATCCCCACTCAAATACATTTATTTAACTGCTTGACATGGATCCCCACTCAAATCAAATGTTTGACTGTTAGATAGACATGGATGCCCGCTCAAATATCATTTAACTGTTTGACATGGATCCCCACTCAAATACATGGATTTCATCTGTTTGACATGGATCCCCACATTTAAGTTTTTGACATGGATCCCACTCTGTTTGACATGGATCCCCACTCAGATACATTTAACTGTTTGACATGGATCCCCACTCAATACATGCATTTTGTGGATCCCCACATGGATCCCCACTCAAATACATTTATCTGTTTAACTGACATGGATCCCCACTCAAATATATTTAACTGCTTGACATGGATCCCCAATCAAATGTTTGACTGTTACATGGATCCCCGCTCAAATACATTAACTGTTTGACATGGATCCCCACTCAAATACATTTATCTGTTTGACATGGATCCCCACTCAGATACATTTAACTGTTTGACATGGATCCCCTGTTTTCAAATATATTTAACTGCTGGATGACATGGATCCCCACTCAGATACATTTAACTTTTATTTAACTGACATGGATCCCACCCAATACATACACATGGATCCCACCCAAATACATTTAACTGTTTCGCATGGATCTCCACTAATTGCATTTATGTTTGCCATGGATCCACACATTTAACTGTTTGACATGGGTCCACACTGAACTACATTTAATTGACTCCGGGCTTGCAAGTGGTTATTCTGTCCTATCAATCCCACTCACCAGGCTACCATCTGTTGGCGTCGTTTTCAATGGCATGACTTCGAATCGAACCACCGACCATCCCCTCACCGGAAAACTGCTTTCCACTTCACCGCGGGGTCAATTTGCCCAAATATTAAACTTCAAATCTTGTCACCACGTATAGCTTAAGAGTACCTTTATTATGCACATCAGGCCAGTGCGATAGCCTAGTGGTTAGAGTGTTCGCTCGTCACGCCGAAGACCGGGTTCGATTTCCAACATGGTGCAATATGTGATGCCAATTTCTGGCGTCTTCCATCGTGTTATTGCTGGAATATTGCTAGATAGCGGCTTTTGTGTAAAATCATTCACTCACACCCTGCCCATTATAACCCAAATCAATGCGTATGTAGACATGTTTGCGATAGTAGGCCTGGGATTTATTTGAAACAATCGGGGTTCTTCATACAACTTGTAAATACCACTTTTTATATTTAAATGCAATCATTTTTGCATCCATTATATTCTATACTAGGCCCTGAATCCTGTTTGCCAACACGGGTGTGTTAGGCATATACGCTGGCTATAACCCGAATAACGGTATATGCTGCATTTTCCCCAATGAAAATGATGTGGGCCAAATCATTCCTTTTAAGCGTTGAATTATTAGCCCGGTTATTGGATTACTCTTCTCCACAACTTTCGTTCTCGGCACCCTGGGGAGTACATGTATACAGCATAAGCTGCTTTTTGAATCACAAGAAGTCTAAACGTCACAATTCTCTGCTTAGGGTATTTTTGCAACCAACTCACTTGCCTCTAAGATGCATCTGGCTGTTGCATATGGTACAGAGCTTGTGCCCTGGAACCTGACAAGCTCATCCGAACTCCGTCGCCCATCCAGGCATCCATTTCTGCGCTACCAACCTTGCTTTACTTGGCTACTACGCCTCACTTGGGAACAACACTGTACACAGTACCACGAACTACCAATCCATAGGTTGATATGCCTCCATCAAGACAAAAGTTCTACTGTTTACGTTTTGTATTTTATACAACCATCGATGTCGCCATTCCGTAATTTACTAACTCGGAGTTATGATTAAGTGTTTTGCATATCATCACACTTGAGGAAGTACACAAAACCCAGTTATTGCCAGAGTGAGTGAGTGAGTTTAGTTTTACGCCGCTTTTAGCAATATTCCAGCAATATCACGGCGGGGGACACCAGAAATGGGTTTCACACATTGTACCCATGTGGGGAATCGAACCCGGGTCTTCGGCGTGACGAGCAAACGCTTTAACCTCACGACTACCCCACGGCCCCCTTTTTTGCCAGATATATTATTGCATACACATATTATTACGCATTGCGTAAACTCTGACGTATATGTGCATAATTTTGTCTCTCAGCAAGCTCATCATGCTCCCGAGCTTCACCAGTTAACGTCTTTAGAACCCGTCAGTAGTGGTTTCCGCATACATTACGTAGACACCATGTGATGTATCGACGTATTTCTCAAGTACATTGCATTGATGGTCCATTTAAGATATTCATGTAAGCGCGATAAGCATGAGACATAATCCGTTGTTCCTTGTGCTAAATATTACATTTTACATAAGACAAATTGAAGTTTTTATAAACATGTTGATAAGCCCGGAGGAAATACATTCTGCGAAATGAGATTGCCTCTGTCGCCTGTCATAGATATGTGTTAGATACGCAATATTTCAGACCTGACATTAAAATGAGGACAGCACGCTCTCATGGAATGTGTTTCCCCCCATCGAGTTGATAATTATACTTTTATTCCAACCTTGTTTAGATTTACATAACAGACGCGTTTTTAACCAAATGTTGTCATGTAAAACCATTTGTATTGTGGTTAAACGTCAGAATAAAACATGCAGATTAGAATCATCTTGATCTATAATACAATTTCCCACTCTAATAGTTATCTACATGGCATACTGCAATCTGACTGAGCTGCATGCCCATACATTTGGACCCTGTGAATGTAAAACTAGAATGACATACATTAACGCTGGATGTCTATCCCAGTGTCTAACCTCAGAAGGGGCGGCGGGGTAGCCTAATGGTTAAAGCATTCGTTCGTCGCGCCAAAGATCCGGGTTTGATTTTTTCACAAGGGTGTACCCACCAAGGGTATTGCTAGAATATTACTTAACCTTAGCAATTGGCATTAAAATACGCGCTTATCATTGTCGCACTTTCTTCACCAGGTTGTACCAGATCATGGAACTGCTCTCGTGGATAGAGCATGTGACTGGAGAGTGGAATGTCAACCGGTCGATCCTCTTGCCGCGTCATGTTAAAAGATTTTACCGATGGTACCCTGCCCGGTGTTTGCCGTTAAGGGGATACAACAATGAATGGACGGCTGTTTCTGTGTCTTACCGTTATCCACGTTAAAGATCTCAGTGAATGTATATTATATAACCAGGATATGTCTCTATTAATCCAAGCCGCCACACTTGCACACTTACGCGCCCGTCGCTATGTTAGTGAAACAGCCATCAGAACAACCTCAGCTCATCGTTTAAACGAATCACAGTTTTAATGGTATGTATCAGTCAGCAAAATATCATAAATGTATATTTCATGAACAGTTGTGTCATAGAGACAGAAAATGGCAAGCTGTTAATGATAGCGGTTGTTTAAAAGTATAATCCTATTATGTATATGACAGGAACGGGCGCTAATGGAAAGTCCGACGTCTACGTCTTCAGCAAGAAGGATTCCAATACAAACCGTATTTGTAGTCGTGAGTGATAAAGACGATAACCGATCACAAATAGCGTGAGAACAACTCTGTTTCCATTGTTTAATACCTGCCTAAAAATACACCTTTTCATTTTGAAGAGCAGAAACAGCTTTTGTTAAAACAAAAAAGCAACGTGTTCGTGTCAGTACTTCACGATTACGCTTCTTAAAGTTTATGTGTCGAGTAAAAGCGAAATTTGGAAATTACAATGATATGTGGTAAGCGCCGCTAAATGTGTTTCCGCATTCAAAGCAATGTTAAAAACACGGAATGACTGTTCACAAAGTGATATGCTGATAATGAAAGATTTACAATCGCCTTATTACATTACTCCATCGGCGTCTTTTGACGCGAATACTAGTGTTCAACAGTTTTTATCAACCGAAGTTTTAACCATAAAACCGGAGCGTCATTGAATGTTTCCTAAAGAGGCATGGAAGTTCAAAGAAAAGACGGGATGCCAAGCTTTTTACAAGGTAACCGCCTCCGTGGTGTAGTGGTTAGAGCGTCCGCCCGGAAAGCGGAAGGTCGCGGGTTCGATCCCCGACCGCGTCATACCAAAAGACGTTAAAATATGGTACTTGTTGGTCCTTGCCTGGCGATCGGCATTAATGGGTACAACAAGGACTTGTCGGCTCGGAGTCAGTATAATGTGTCTGAGTGGGATATTCATGCTTCACTGCGGCATGGTATCACAGTGGGCTAGCACTATAAAACCAGCTTCAGTCTGGGCTAAATACAAGCAGCCGCACATACACATACACACGCATGCACGTCGTCATATGAGCGAAATATTCTCAAGCACGACGTTAAACCCAATTTCACCTCACCTTTTTACAAGGTGTGTATATATGATAAGTATACAGTATGATTAGTATGTTCTCCATTCAGGGAACATGTACCTGAACATTGTCTATGTTTCACCTTTAACTGGCAACATGAACCTTCCGAATGACCAATTTCAATCACATGCGAACGACCATTTATTTGATTATTGAGGTTAAGAAGAAAGTAAGTTTGCAGGTGCAGAAATAGATATTGGTGGCACAAATAGCATACGTCATTATCTACAGTCGTCTCGGTGTCGTCAAGTAAAACATTTCGCAATAACATACACATCATTGATTCCATACCTGTGCGAATAAGACGATCTTGCAGAGTGTCCTCCCAAGAAACCATGTCTCTGTTATATTCTGTAGCACAGTTGGAGGTTCACACGTAATAAACACAAGGAAGTCTGCAACAGCCAGATTCACTATGAACAAGTTAGTCACTGTTTGCATGTGTTTGCTCCTGCATACAACGAAACACACCAAGAAGTTACCAAGAACACCCACCAAAAACACTATGATGTGGAGGATAACAAACACCCATTCAGTCGTTGTAGGAAAAATGTGTTTCTTCAGAATCGAATTGATAAAATCATCTTTGCTCATGCAGTGAAGAGCACTACTCAGCTCATAGCATTCCGGTACTGTACCATTCGTAGATATATTTGTACTATTCATTATCAAACAGGTCACGTCTTCAGGAAAAAAGATGAGAGCTTGTTTTTCAAGGCGCAAATTGAAAGAAAATAATTATGTCACTAATTTCAAATGATCAAATATTTCCAGAAACCGCAGCTGATGGCTTAATCACAGAGGCTTGTTTCCGTAGCCTGATCGAACGCTCGCTTCTGTCAGCGGTTAGATCGGAAGCTTGAAGCAAATAACTCCCTATAGTTTAGACTGGTCCATACAGTTCGCCCGTTAGCAGCGGTCTGTGACTCTCCGTCCGTGGAACTGCCTCGAGTTCGCAGCGCGTGCTAGGAACAACGCGCTATGATAAATATTCACATAATTACCTGGAAAGTGCAGGCGGAATAGCGCTTACCCGATTGATTGGTTGCTGGGTCGGCTGATGAGATGCGTGGCAGTTTGGAGCTAACAAATTTCTTCATAATTGTTCAAGTCCGTTTATTTGGTTTGGTCAGTAATACGCTGAGCTGTACAACTGATTTTGCAGATACACAGAGTGTGGTGAAAGCGTCTTTTTGTCAGTCATCAACATATTTGTCCTGTCTTGAGGCAAATGTACAACATTCTTTCTTTGTGGATATGAAGGTGATCACACATTATTCACACTTCGTTAAACGTTCTCTGATAAGAAAGGGGCGGTGGGGCAGCCTAATGGTTAAAACGTTCGCTCGTCACGCCGAAGCCCGGTGTTCGATTCCCCATATACGTACAATGTGTGAAGATTAGAAACGATGTTGTTGCTAATTTGTTTAATTTATTTATTACAGCAGAAGCAATTATTCCTGGTAGCCTTTACCTCTTCCGGATTAATCATGGTAATGTACGTTCTTGAGAAAGTATGACATTTAGGGAACGTTTTACAACAAACACCTTGAACACAACGGTATAATGAACGACAGTTATACAGTAAATACGCTGCTTCATATATATGTCAATGGAAATTATTCTAATATGCTTACACATCTGCATGTTATGCACACCCTTGAGTTACAATGTGGAAATGTCAGCATGTATAATGTCGAAAATTGGTTGGTAGTTATTATCTAACCCCGCACTCAGCAGTATTCCAGCTACATGGCGTCAATCTGTAATAAAATCGAGTCTGGACCAGACAAACCAGTGATCAACAGCAAAATCATTCATCTACGCAATTGGGATGCGATGACATGTGTCATCCAATTCAGCGAGCCTCACCACCCGAACCCGTTAGTCGCCTCTTACAAGCACGGGCTGCTGAAGGCAAATTCTAACCCGGATCTTCCCGGGTGATATGGACAAGTGTCTGTACCTTACACGGGAGATAGGAATCTCTTGTTGAATTAAACCACGAGTTTGCAGCGACATTACCTAAACAGACAAGATACTTACTAAGTCAGCCAATGATTGATGCTTGAACCATTAACATGCAAAAACCGATTTACAGCTGTTGTGTCAGCCGAATTACTGCTTCGCATCAGTAACTACAAAACCGTCGATCATCACACTATTTTCTAAATATATGAAATTTAATTATTATTATAATATGTAAATATAAATATAAAAAGGATCAACTAAGGATATTGATGTTTCACAAGTACTGGTGTTTGGCTATCACATGGAATGAAAAAAGGCGATTTCGTAGGACACATTTAACGATTATGAACACGTATGAACGGATTCTTTTTCTACTTTTGGCCACATATTCACTTTGTGTGACGTGAATTAGAGTCAGGTCGCCTTGTTCACTCGTACATGCATCTGATGAATCTGCAAACATAGTCGTGTAGTATTTTAAAACTAGCAGAACGTGTGCCATTGATAAATCACTATGCAAATGTACAATCATGTGTAGAGTGTGGTGACACTATAGGTGATATTTGTAGCCTAATTGGCTTACGCCAAGGATGTATTTTTAAGTCCAATACTGAAGTTCGATACTTACGTTGATGTCATGGCATCCAGCTCTTTCCTGAAATATACTGTATATGGGTCTGGAGTCTCTTTAGATTCCATAAATATTTTAACTGAACCACTTGCTATCTTTAAGAATGTGTTTAACGATGCAGTTATCTGTCGAAATGTTTCTCATAAACTCTTTCCTTTTGTACCTTATTATCTATACTTTCATGGTTTAGCTATTAATAATTTCCGGGCATTTGTATTTATGATTACATTTCAATATGCATTGTTTGCATTGAGATACATGTGGATCTTCGTTTAGTGTTACATGACAGATGAAAAGCGACGGTAGGTGAAGGGTTAAATATTTCGTCTTTCAAGTCCTCATTATATGCTTCAAGAGCCTCTAGTGCTCATGAGATAACAACAGATAAGAACTTCTTAATGGGAATATTGATCCAGCCCACATCCCTTAAAAGGTGTAAGCTGATTTCATGCTTTGATGTATTGATACACATAATAAAAGTTTCGGCCATGGCCGAACTTCTTATCAGTGTGAAGACGGTTTCAGACTGACATAGTGATTGCTGTTTGGCCTTCACATACACGTACATTTATTCAGAACTTGATAAAACCTGGTGAATATTTAAACTCTGAAAAGCTATATGTTTCCTACTCACACATGCATTCCACATAGGGGCAGGTCAGCTAAAATTACTTTGGCAAACGGAGACCCTATAAACACTTTAAAAATCTACATCAACTGCAAATACAAGTGATCATATCTGTTACAAACATTGTGGTGCTGTCGAAAGAGATGCCAAACAACGTGCTAAAAGAGAAAATGTGTATACAATGAATGTCTTATAATGTTGTCTTTGGTCCAATGAAAGCAAACACTAAAAGAAAAGGAAACAGGATTACAATAACCCATTTCTGTCCTAGCCAGCTTTCATTTAAATTCTAATTGCCCTTCATGAAACATGTTCCAGTGCAGCAGAGGATGGAAATTAAGGACCATGAAAAACATGTTGTCCTTGCTGATCCATTGTGTCCGCGCCACACCCTGCACTTACAGAACTTACAGTGATATTGTCCAGAGGCTATCAACACTAAATGACCCTTTCAGAGAAGAATTTAACACTCCTCTGCTTCCTTTCTCCTACCGGACACTTAGTCAAGACGGACTAGTTTTCTTAATGACCGGGACTGTGTCGTTGTATCTCTGAAGATAACACATGAATTAAACATATCAAAGAACATTTTAAACCGTTGTAATGTAGTAATAGTGACGGGTATACCACTATATTTCACTGTTGAATGTAGTTATTGAGAAAACCACTGTTGCTCTGATGTGTTTATTTAACACTGTAGCTATTTGTCAATGTAGGTCTTAGTCTATTAAACTGATGCATCTCCAGCTACTGTCAAATTAGAAAGACTTTTCACGATCCAGAACCTTGCGCTTTACCACCCCCTAACATTACAGAGGCAGGGAAGGACTTGGTTAGAAAGAACATTTGACCCATTCCACAGATCTGTCACGTGTAACTGGTAAGTTATTATTGAATTACGTTAATAGTGCATGCGTTTGAAATATTATTGAAACAGGTTATAACTATCAAATTGTTTTTCAGTATGTTTTGCTGTGATGTTGAAGATATTATTAAACTAGTCTGTATCATCTGGGCAAATCTAGTATAACTTATTATTACATCTGACTGACGTTCCATTGCATCATGTATATCATTCTTTGTCAGGCTTACGATCAACAGAAGAAGAAGAAGCACCAGCAGGACCTCTATTTTACAGCCTCAAGCCCATCATGTCTGGAGGCAAGGAACTGCCACGGCAGCGGGGACGATAATGACCTCTTACAGTTCAACACCCATACATCCAACAGCGAGAACTTCCTGTTCCATTCCATTACAAAAGAAATTTCTGTGATGGAACATTTAACATCTGTCCTAAACTCTTTCATCAGTGGAATCACTTTATCAGCAAGGTCCCTTTCCACAAAGCGATCTTAGCGCTAACGACTATCGTAACCCAATGTTACATTTTGAGAGTTACGGTCACCTTAGAGCTAAGATCAATTGGTGAAACGGAGACCTAAACGACGGACCATTCGGACCGGTGTATGGGGGTACGGTTACACTGCCCCCGTCCCTCTACCCCCGGCAAGAGATAATAGAGTGCCAGTAGCACCCCCACCGTCATGTACTGTAGTTACTGTACTGGTTAGTGGAATGACCCCCTCAGCTCATTCGACGTCCTGTTAATCAGCTCATTAATCACCAGTCAATTAGTTATCCATCTGCCTTCCAAACAATTTTTACATGCTTTACCCTTTTCGCGAACACCTAGCGTAATCACTGACTTTCGGCGATTCATTCATATATTTTTCACAGCTATTTCCCCTCAGCACCAAACGGAATTTGCTGTTTCAGGGTAGTCAAGACTGAGAGTTTACGATTTCAGATGACATACAAGGACATAAAATAAGGATCAATCTTTATGTATTAGCCTTGCTCTCACAATCTCACGGATAGGTGTAATAAGTACAACATATATTTTATAGTTCATAAGCTCATTGTTCGTTGGTCACCGGTACATACTATTTGACACCATGCGTATGAATCTACGCAATGGGGATAACCATGTATCAACCACCCTATACCTTGACTCGCCTCTTGAGACGAGCATTTCTATGGCAGGTGGGGCAGGCTACGCTCACCTTTTCGCGAACATCTGGTTTCATCACTATTTCATAGTGATTCATAAACACATTCTCTGCCGTCGTATAGCATGGTGACACTCACTGGATTGTCTGGTCCTCATTCGATATGTTTACAAACAACATCATACGGCTGTAATACTGATGAAACAAATATCTGCTCATGATATTATCACAATTGTTAAATCGACTTCTCTTTTAGCACAGATTTCTTATGAGTGTGTAAAGGGTTTTATCGCTTTTATTCTAACCCAGATTTTCACAGGACTTTTTAATGTTTGCAGTGTTGATTATAACCTAACTACTTAAAGGATATTTGGTGTTTATCTTATGTTATCCGATGAATCGGTCAAAATGAAACAGGTTTATTCATGAGATCTCCAGATGCCTCGGCCAAGGAAATCATTGACATGTTGACAACAACGCATTAGTGCGTCCAAATATATAAATGGAGAATGTTGAAGGCTTGATCAAGCATTCTCAGCCTGCGAGGCAATCACTAGAGAATATGAGAGGTCAAGGACAAGATGTGCCATTGTAATTGTGTATTATCATAAAACGATGACAATAAAGAGCAACGCACTGATCAGTATTGTTGGGTATATGT